CCCCAAAACCCCAAAACCCCGTGTATTCCAATTTTTGGAAAATAAGGAAAACTTTCAAATTTTATTGTTTGAATTTATGATATCAATAATTAATTTTTAGTACTCAATTAGCTCTTTAAACTGTCTTATTAAGTATCATAACTCAGACATGTAGCCTGTCTCTTCTAGGTCAGTAGTATAAAAGCCTCCATTTTTAAAAGTTTGTATATTCTAAAAGCCAAATGGGAATTGAATCGTATACTTCATGTCTTGCATTGAATGTTCTTATACTTTTTTGAAAATATCTTGATCAATTTGGTAATTTTTTAGCTTCTTGTATCCGATTTCTTTCAATATTTGGTACCTAGCAATTTTCGAACTTGTTATCAGCTATGCTGAGCTTTGCTATGTCAAACCGAAAATTCCAAGATCCATTCTGTTATTTTAAAACAGCTTAAGTTTCATTGGATCTACGAACTCTCCAGGCCCTAAAAGTAGAACGTAATCCTAATCATGAACTCTTAATTAATCCAATTTTTATCTAACTTTGCCTTCAATCATCTTGTAGAGATTCAATTCCATATTGACTATTTAATATTTCCAATTATTCCTGTAAATTTTACCCAACTTAGGTAGTTATTCTTTTTAAGTTCTCTAAAATTCATAGTCGAATTGTCCATCAATATCTATAACTATAAATTGATAGGCATAGTCTTTTAATGCATTTATTTATTCTTGAACTAATTTTGTATTCTGAAGAGAGAATATGCAGACAAATATGTTGCTATGATCCTAAGGCTAAATTATGACTTTCTTATTTTTCTCGGCATAGTTGTATCGTTCAATATAGCTTTAAAATGTTACTTCTAAGTCTGATATATCTTTAGCAGTTTGATAAGTTTTAGTTTTCTAGTGGTTTATTATTTATTAAGCTATCTTATTAATATCAAAAGCTTGGCAAGATTTAATAGGAAGATTCTTTAGTGCAATATCAGTTAATGCTTATATTAAACATTATAAGTCAATGTTTTCTAATAATTAGGGGCTTAAGGAATTGAAGATGTCTACCTACTTCCTCAATGTCCAAAAATAAATGTGATGGTGTAAGGAAAGTCTTGTATATGACATTCTCTCTCCATGTTCTCTTACTGCAAATACCTAATCTGGGAACCAACCGAATTTTATATTTTCATGCTCAAGTTCAAAGACTAGTTTTATCCATTACTTATAATCCTGACCACTAATATGTTCATAATAATAAAGCCTTTTCATTTTATCGTTCATCCTCACAAAAATAGCACTGTGAGCAATATTGCATTGTAATGCCAACAATATTTTAGTATCCCAGATATTAATGTATTGTCTAGCATCGCCATAAGTTGTCATACCAGATGCTTCAACGTTTAGACGAGGAGCTGCAATAAAATCTAATTCTTATTCATTCCACATATAGTTTAATTACTTCTCTAATTTTTCAGGTAAATAAATATCATCATCATCTAACAAAGTTAGAAATTAACCCTTAGCTTAATCTATGGCATAGTTAGCAGTAAATGAAGTATGCAAATTTGTGTGAAGAAAATTAACTATAAGTTTTGGAATTTTTCCAAGCATAACAAGAATAGCATGAGTAAGAGGGTTATTTGATCCATCATCAACAATTATCAGTTCCCAATTAATATATGTTTAAATGAAGCAACTTTTTATAGCATCTAGGAGAAGATAATCTCTGTTATAACTTCCCAATATTATAGAGACAAGAGGATATTTAGAAGGAAACTCTGTTACTTTATCTTATCTTCTGATAAATTATTGAATTTCAACAATTGAATCTGTTAGAGTCTTATAGCTTTCTTTTTTTGATGATTAATAATTAAGAAGTTTCTCTATCAATAGATATTAGATTATAACCTGATATTTTCTGTCACAGGAAAGATAATCAAAACTACAATTAAGGAATTCTGAATATTCAATGGATGTCAAATTATTTACATTTTTACTCAAGAGATAACTATTATAATGCTGAAACTTCTATTGATTTTCCAGATTCCTAACAGCGAAGTCATAAGTATTTTTTAACCAATAGTTTTTAAAAGAAATTTTCACTAGATCCGAATTTACTTATGTTACTTGATCGTTTTAGATAATACTATTAATCATCTCAAATCTGTTTACATTTTGGCAAATCTTAATATTTTCTAAAAAGAATGATTTTGCTATAATCAGTGTAAATTCGAAATGAGGTGATTATGAAAATAGCAAGTTGTCAAGATTTCTTTTGTAGTCTCGTTTTATTAGTTCACTTTTGACATCATAATACCATTTTTTTTAGTTGTCATATATTAAAAGTTCTGACATCATTGCTTACATTTTAAGACTTTTTGCTACATTAGAAACTATTTGCAATCTCTCAGGATGATTCGTTGTGAGTGCATGAGATAAAACAATGAACTCTCCATTTATTTTATCAATAGAGTTTTAAATCACAATAGAAAAGTCATTAACGTCTTCAATGTAATGATACTTAATCTAGACTTAAGGCTGAGCTACATTATTTTAGATTCTCTCTGAAATCGTTTAATTCTATACAGCTACTAGAATCTCGAAATTTTAGTAAGTTTGCTAGAGGGAGCTCTTGATGCAAGTTTCGATATCTTCAATTGTACCAGAGCCATATATGAGTATTGTCATCAAAGGATCACCAGCCTTGAGATTTTGAGGTGAATTAAGATCAAGATTTTTACAAGCATTTATTTTAATGAATAAAGCAAGTGTTATGTAGAGAAATATTTTTAGCTATTTCATTTATCACCTTTATTTAGAATTATATTAATTAATACATTTTATTTAGTAATTAGATAAGATTATATTAACTATTATTTTTCTTTATTTATATCTTAATTAGGCTATTTGGGGTTTTGGGGTTTTGGGG